CTGTCATAATTTTGGTATAGTAGTTGTGACTTATTCACACTATATACATTTGGCTTCCGCAACCGCCACTTACAACATACGAAGAATCAATGCACAATTAGTACTTAGTAATTCTATGTTGTTCCTAACACGTGACAGAAAGATGCTTGCTTACTTTGTCGGGTACTTGTTAAAAATATTTTCTCGGGGTCACCATTTTGCCATTATTTATGTTATCTGCTATACAGTTTTAGCTGTATTAGCAAATTCCCGTTTGTCTTTTGTTCGATCTGGACTATTTTAAGGCTCCCAATTGACTAATGACTACTAGTATGACCTGCAAGAAACCATCTTTTCAAAGGCCAATATATCTTGTTTTTACCATTAAATTATAAGGATCCTAACTAGGTATAAGAATTATTTAACGATATGTTGTATATTGCTACCCCCAACGTGTCATTTTTCAATCAAGGTTTTTTTTATTTCCTTGTTGGCTTGTCTTGTCTAAGGTTTTTCAGTCTTTGTTGGCTTGTTGCAGCCATTTTTGCGTTAAAACACAGACACCAAAAATGGATTATCTACTACTTCTATTATATTAATGGAATATGACATATATTGCATTCTTCATTTCTTCTTACAGAGAAGATCATATAATCCAAATTGTATATCAAAAAAATATATGAAGAAAACTTTCTTTACTCCCTGTGGACAAATTATCAATTTGTAATTCACCTCCTTAATACATGGAATTGTGTTCCCACCAAATTCACTCCTTGGAACTTGAACAGAAACCTGTTTTTCTTGGTAATTTCATACTTGCCTTTTAAGTGGTATTATTCTAACAATACGCCTTTTATCTTATTATTTTTTAAAAGGAATCTGGATGAAAATCAACCAATTACAAGTCCATATCTCATACCTAATCATCTGGATGCGATTGGAATTTACACAACAAGTTGAGGACTAAATCCGAATTTTGGGCCTAATTAGGAGCCAAAATTGAAATTTTACTATATATAATGAACTTACTAAATATTTTAAGAACAAATGCCTCGTTCTTTCATAGACACTAAGTAGTCAAACTTAAAAACAGATCCACAGGCTCTCACTATATCCCTTTTGCAGGAGCACCTTCATACATTGATTACTTTCTGAAATTTGGATAATATAAAGCATGGAATTTGCAGCTAATCAGATTTGAGTTTGTAGCCAATAGCATAAAATAGAACCTAAGATCTTCCTTCGTGTATCCTTTCTCTTGCCTTCTTTGCCTGCACAGTCCATTCCCAAATTTTCAATACAGAGGAAAAAAACGAGGAAATTGTGAAAAGACTAAAAAAAAAGGTAAAATGAATGAACCTGCTTTTCCCAATCAGTGAAACTTGTAACAATAGATAGAATGATTGATGGTTTGTACAGTAAAACCAACCACTATTCCAATCCAAAGACCCTTTGCTTTCAAATGTAGAACGAATCCTAACACCACTGCTAAGGGGATTGCTACCAAATAAAATGCCCCTGAATTTATATATGCCCCGATATGCTGCCACCCGCTTCCTCTTGCTATACCTGTATTTTTTTTAACAAAAAAATCTAAGTCGAAGTGCAGTACAAACTTTTTCAGGAATATATCAGGGTTAATATTATGTATGGTCACTGAATTTTACCCGCCACGTTGGTGCTTTGCTAGTAAATATGACACATCAAAAGATGGATGCTTGGAACTAGATGACAGCTTGTAAGCTATCTGTGATAATGGACAGACATAGAAAAGGAGTCATTTCAGCTATATAATCCACTACTTGCTTGTAATACACGCCTGCTTCCGAATAGACTTGTGCTTAATACTACTGTCTCTATGACTGCAAGAAACATTACTAACTGAACTGCCAGTCGAGCCTTTTGAGGATTCCCAGCTCCCAATTCATTTGAAATACGAGTACTTTAAAATAAAATAAGACAACAAATAATGGGGTAAGATATTGTATGATTTTTCACTGATGAACATAGTTGACAGTTATTGAGTCAAACCTTGCAGTAGCTCCGAAGCCATATGGTACAGTGAAGTGTAATGTTGAAATTGTTAAGCTGCAAGAGTGTGGGGAAAAAAAAAAGAGAGAGATTAGACGCATTTCTATTGAAAAATCTCCCGAATTCATGACCAATGTGAATTGGTTGTGGATTAGAGTATGGTACCATGTTGACATCACTGATGTCTCACGTGTTGGATTTGGTAGAAGGCCTGATAGCAAAGTAAGCACCTCAAGTGACTACCATTTTAGGCTACAATAAGAGTGTTGCCAGTCATACTGGAAAATAAGAGTCATTGAAATGAAAATACATAAATAAATAACTGCATCCAATAGATCATCAGGCATGAGGGATTCATTCAAGAAGAGGAATATTTACCAAACAATCACAGGAGAAGGGACAGCCAAACGGAAGAATTGTCTGATACAGGAATGCATCTATGGAGAAAGGCGCTCGAGTCTTCTCACTGGAGCTTGAATATTTGACATAAAATGCAAGAAATAGGACATACAACCAAGAGGATATACTGAAGGCTATAGCAGCTCCTATGTTTCCAAGCTCCAACTTAAATATGAAAGCCCAGCTAATGGGCAAGTGGAAGCATAGAACAGCAAAGGAAGATAGAAGCATAGGAAGAATCAAGNCAACTTAAATATGAAAGCCCAGCTTATGGGCAAGTGGAAGCATAGAACAGCAAAGGAAGATAGAAGCATAGGAAGAATCAAGCTCTGTGTCTGCATGTATCTAACTAGTGGTTTAGAAATTGCACCACCAAATAAAGCAGGGATTACCCACATTGAATACTTCTGCGCTTCCACTGAGATTGAGTGATCTTGTCCGATCAATATAAGCAATTTGTCCATGAAGAACCACAAAACACATATTGGTATGCATACAAGAAACAGAGAAATTATAGCAGTGTAGGTATATGTACTGAGCTTGTGATATTGCTGAGCTCCATAAGCTTGTCCACATAGTGCCTCCAAACCACCAACCAGCCCTGACTGTTACATATTCACAAACCTCATTCAATTAATATGATTTCAAAAAATAGACCTTAGGACTAACTCAATCCGAAAAAATAGCTTATGAGGTAAGGATTGTCCATGACCACAGACAGACAAACAGTCCATTTCTTCAACCCATGTGACTATAACACCTGAACGCCTAGGCCTGAACATCTAGAATTTGGACGACATAATATGACCGACATTGTGTAAAATAAGAATAGGGGTAGATTTTGCTGTGATACCATGTTAATAAGATAGACTCAATCCCAAAGATAGCTGGAGGACGATGGAGTTCATTTACATTTGGTTCAATTGAGCCTAGTATTATTAAAACAAAGCATAGATATACATGTGAAAAATTACTAAGATTTCATCAAATACTAAATTTTGAACCCATAATTTGTGTGATATATATTTAGTAGTAACTGATAGGACCAAACATATTGTTGTATGTGAAAGTAGACAAAACAAAAGAAAGAAAAATCAAAAAGAGATGAAAATACGATGTAAGTGCTTACATCGACATTCTTGTGATGTAAGCGCTTACCTCAGCATTCTTATGCTTACATCGGCATTCTTATGATGTAAACGCTTACCTCGGCAGGGCATTCAAATGCCTATAAATAGAGGTCTACATTTTCATTTGTCGATCATCCCAAAACTTCTTCTTTCTCTCTTCAATTAATAAAGAGCTATTCTTTGTATGACCGTGGAGTAGGCAAAAATTGTCGAACCACGTAAATCTTGTCTTGTGTAATTTATTGTTTCTCTCCTAAATATCTTTTTCCATTTATTATCTTGACATGTCTCCTCAACAACTGGTATCAGAGCTGCAGACAGTGTAATTCTGGTAGAAAAGTACAGTATTGGTGCATGTACTATTTACAAGAATAGTGCGACATTATTGATCATCGTTACTATTCACAAGCACTATTCACATAAATTGTTTTTTGTGAAAAATGGCATAGGAAGAAGGGAAGGTTAAGATTGACAAGTTCAATGGCAAAGATTTTGGATTCTGGAAAATGCAAATAGAGGATTATTTGTACCAGAAAAATTTACACTTACCTCTGACCGAGGTGAAACCGGAGACTATGGCCAAAGCAGATTGGGATCTATTAGATCGCCAAGCTCTTGGTGTGATTCGTTTGACGCTAACATGAAATGTGGCGTTTAACATCATTAACGAGAAGACCACTGCAGGCTTGATGAAGGCGTAATCAAATATGTACGAGAAGTCATCTGCTTCAAATAAAGTCTATTTGATGCGTCGATTGTTCAACTTAAAGATGACAGAAGGTGGATCAGTCACAAAGCATATCAATGAGTTTAATATAATATTTACTCAGTTGAGTTCTGTTAATATAACAATTGATGACGAAATCAGGGCGTTGATTCTACTATCATCTCTACCGGAGAGTTGGTCTGCAACAGTAACTGCAGTTAGCAGTTCATCAAGAAGTACCAAACTCAAATTGAGTGATATTAGAGACATGGTTCTAAGCGAAGATATTTGCAGAAGAGAATCAAGTGATTCCCCAGGATCTGCTTTTAATACCGAAAGCAGGGGGAGAATCAACCAAAGAGGACAGAATTATGGTCGTGGCAGATCAAAGTCAAGGAGAAGAGGACAATCCAAAATCGCAAGGACATTACTTGTTGGAATTGCGATAAAAAGGGGTCACTACAGTAGTCAATGTAGAGAACCAAAGAAGAATAAGGAAGAAAATTCAGCAAATGTAATTGCTGAACAAGTCGGTGATGCACTAATTTGTTGTGCAGACAGTCCAGTCGAATCTTGGATTCTGGACTCAGGTGTATCCTTTCACTCTACATCATGCAAAGAATTATTGCATAATTATATTGCTGGAAAATTTGGGAAAGTTTATCTAGCAGACGGCGAACCTCTCGACATTGCCGGAAAAGGTGAAGTTCATATAAAGACTTCACAAGGCACGCTATAGAAATTGCAAAATGTACGACATGTTCCTAGCCTCAAGAAAAATCTGATATCTATGGGTCAGATTGACGATGAAGGATATACAACAACATTCGGCAACGGATCGTGGAAGATAACTAAAGAGAATTTGGTTGTGGCACGAGGCTTCAAAAGGGGAACACTGTATGCAACTGCAATAGAAAGAGATACTATAGCAACAGTTGATCATGGTCGTGATACAACATTGTGGCACCGGAGGCTCGGGCATATGAGTGAGAAGGGAATGAAGCTTTTGGCATCCAAAAAGAAGTTGTCAAACCTAAAACATGTTGAATTAGGTTTGTGCGAAGATTGCATTTACGGGAAACAAAAGAGAGTTAGTTTCTCAAAGGTGGGAAGGACGCCAAAGAAAGAGAAGCTGGAACTAGTGCATACAGATGTGTGGGGACCAGCTCCTGTAACTTCTCTAGGAGGCTCACGCTATTATGTCACCTTCATTGATGATTCCACAAGAAAGGTATGGGTTTATTTTCTGAAAAATAAATCTGATGTGTTTGTTACCTTTAAAAGATGGAAAGCTGAAGTTGAAAATCAGACAAGTCTAAAGTTAAAATGTCTGAAGTCTGACAATGGAGGAGAGTATGATAGTCAAGAGTTCAAAGCATTTTGCTCGGAGAATGGGATCAGAATGATCAAGACAGTTCTTGGAACACCGGAATAAAATGGTGTTGCTGAGAGGATGAACAGAACCCTGAATGAACGAGCCAGAAGTATGAGAATACATTCTGGATTGCCGAAGTATTTTTGGGTAGAGGCTGTTAACACGGCAGTTTACCTCATAAATAGGGGACCCTCTGTACTGCTGAATTTTGAAATTCCTGAGGAGGTATGGACATGAAAGGAGGTAACTCTCTCACATCTGAAATTTTTTGGTTGTGTTGCTTATGTGCATGTAAACTCTAATGATAGAGATAAGATTGATCCTAAAGCAAAGAAATGTTTCTTTATTGGCTATGGTGATGATAATTTTGGTTATCGGTTTTGGGACGATCAGAATAGAAAGATCCTAAGACACAGGAATGCCATATTTAATGAAAATGTGATGTACAAGGACAAGCTTGAAGTAGAACCAACCAACACCAGCAAACAGACAAGATTGTCTGAAACAGTTGAGTTAGAAGAAATCTCAGAAAATGAAGTGGCTAGAGGGATTACAACTAATTCTGAAATTGAAGATGAAGAAATAGAAGCCGAATTTGAAGAAGAACTAGTAGCCAAACCTGAATCAGAACCAGAATAGAACCAGAGATAGAATCAAATGCAGAACCAAATCTGGAATCAGGACCTGAATCAAATTCGGATTCTGTTACTCATGAACCTACATTGAGTAGATCTAAAAGAGTCACGAATGCTCCAGATAGGTTAACTCTCTCTCTCTTCACTATTTACTTCTTACTGATACTGGAGAACCAGAGCATTTTGTTGAAACAATACAGGTGATAGACTCTGATAAGTGGAAGCTAGCCATGAAAGAAGAGATGAATTCTCTTCAAAAGAATAAAACATGGACACTTACATAGTTACCAAAAGGAAAGAAGGCATTGCAGAACAAGTGGGTGTACAGAGTCAAAGAAGAGCATGATGGTAAGAAGAGATACAAAGCACGATTAGTAGTAAAAGGCTTTCAGCAGAAGGAAGGAATTGACTACACCGAGATCTTCTCTCCTGTAGTCAAATTAACTACTATCAGGTTGGTGCTAAGTATCGTAGCTGCAGAAAATTTGCATTTGGAGCAGCTAGATGTTAAAACTGCTTTCTTGCATGGTGACCTTGAAGAAGACATCTACATGAAGCAACCTGAAGGTTTTCAAGTTTTTGGTAAAGAAAACCTTGTGTGTAAGTTGAAGAAGAGTTTGTATGGTTTGAAACAAGCTCCTCGACAATGGTACAAGAAATTTTATGGATTCATGCATAAAAATGGTTTCACACAATGTGAGATGGACCATTGCTGTGATATCAAAAATCTTGATAAATCCTATGTCATTTTATTATTGCACGTTGATGATATGCTAATTGCAGGATCAAGCATAAATAAGATCAACTTGGTTAAGCAACAACTGGCGGAGGAGTTTGAAATGAAAGACTTAGGACCAGCTA